AAACTTCAGAGGACAGCGGAAGACAGGAGGGCCTGGCAGGATCTGGTCCATGGGGTCGCGAAGAGTCGGACTCAGCTGTGTGACTGAACAACAACAACTCTGGGTTGAGGTATTAATATAGTGCAGAATCCGAAACCAACATTTTGTAACTAGGAAACCAAATTCTGCAAGTTTGTACTAAATTATGCAGCTTGCAAAGATTATACAGGTGTTACTTAGTTCTTTGATCTAATCAGTCAGATCATTTATTAAATGCCTGCTTCAGTCTGGTTACAGATTCTCTGAGACACTATCCTGTGCGTAATTAGGCAATTCAATTTATTATTCCATGATCATCACCATATTTTGCAATCGAGAGAAGGAGAGATGGGACTAGTGATATCGCTAGCAGAAGGTGGTTGGGTTCATGGCAAAGGACAGAGTTTAAAATACGTGTTTTACAATCCACTGTAATCCTTATCATGATCCTGCCTGTGCTCTAATGCCTCTGTAAGGACAAGAGATGTCTACTAATCTGTCTCTCCAATGATGAGAACCTGTAAATTGCTGTTTTTAAGAAAAGTCAAGAGTCATGAGAGGTTGATTTAGTTCGGGGTGTCAAACATGCAGCCCGTGGACCGGATCAGGCCCTCGGAGAGCCCCAATCCAGCCCGCAAGGCCCTGGCTATTTCCTGCTTCATTTTCCAGTTCTCTTGCTGCTGCCATGTCACAACTTGCTTTACCAGTCTCTCTCAGTCTCACAGGAGAGATAGATAGGCAAACCTCTCCTGTGAGACTGAGACAGTCTGGTAAAGAACTGGCTGAGCCTCCTCCTCCTCCTCCTCCTCCTCCCAGGGGGAGGGAGGGAACAGCCAGAGCTTCCTGGCCAGGCTGCAGGAGACAAAGGGAAACATTTCTTTCCTTCCATTTGCTGAGGCTCCTCCCTGAAGGGAGGGAGGGAATGAGGGAGAGCTTGCTTTGCTTGGCTGTCTCAATTGCACTGGAGAAATACCAAGCACCTTTAAGACCAACAGAGTTTTATTCAAGGTATGAGCTTTTGTGTGCCTTGCTACAGTGTGTGTGTGTTTTGTTGGGCTCTTTATGCCAGGGTTCTCCTGAGTGCAACTGGATTCCCTCCCCCTTTTCACTGTGTTCATGCCCTCATGATCCAATCTTTCTCAGTAAGAAAGCAATGTGAACTATTTTAGAGGAGGAATAACAACAAGCCAGTGAGGTGGATTAGGCGGACAGTGTGTGTGCAGACCAAGTTCACCCAGCACATTTCCTTTGTAGAAAGTTGTAGTTCTTTCTCTGGGGAAAAGTATAGTTTTATAGATAAACACATGGCCCTTAGTCTGTGTCAGGATGCCTTCTCATGTTCTTGACCAGCACAGGAAGCAACTTGATCCAGCTGAATTGGCCAACTATCAGCCGGTTTCCAGTTTGCCCTATCTGGGCAAATTAATAGAGGATGGTAGCACGCCAGCTACAAAGCTTTTTGGATGACACTTCCATTTTAGATCCCTTCCACTCCAGTTTTCGCCCTGGTCATTGGACGGAGACGGCAGTGGTCACCCTCACAGACAACCTTCGAAGGCATCTGGATTGAGGCGGATCGGCGGTGCTAATGTTGTTGGACCTGTCAGTGGCGTTCGACACGATTGACCATCAGTTACTGGTCCGCTCCCTCGCCGACAAAGGAATCCAGGGACTTGCCTTACAATGGCTCGCTTCCTTTCTCCAAGGTCGGGGACAAAGAGTGGCACTAGGGGAACAGCAGCAAGAGGAACCCACTGGATTGTGGAGTGCCCCAAGGGGCAGTACTTTCCCCGATGTTATTTAACATCTATATGCGCCCCCTTGTCCAGATTGCCCGGAGGCATGGGCTGGGTGTCACCAGTACGCTGATGACACCATGCTCTATCTGATGTTGGGCGGCCGGTCCGACTCCAGACCAGAAGACCTGGACCAGGCATTACAAGCTGTGGCTGGTTGGCTTAGGATGAGTCGACTGAAACTGAACCCGATGAAGACGGAGGTCCTGTGCTTGAGTCGGGGCAGTTCGGGGATGGGGTTTCCACCCCCGACGTTCGACTGGGCGCCATTGGTGCCAGTGCTGGAGGTTAGGCGTTTGGGAGTGCTCCTGGATGCCTCCCTAATGATGGAGGCCCAGGTAGCAGCCACTGCCAGGTCAGCCTTTTACCATCTTCGGCTGATCAGGCAGTTGGGTCCCTTCCTCAACCGCGCTGACTTAGCAACAGTGATCCATGCTATGGTCACCTCGAGACTAGACTACTGTAACGCTCTCTACATGGGGCTGCCCTTTTTGTGGATTCGGAAGCTGCAACTAGTGCAGAATGCTGCAGCCAGGCTTTTGATGGGTCTCCCCAAGTGGGAGCACATCCAGCCTGCGCTGCGGCAACTGCACTGGCTGCCAATAGCATACTGAATCTGCTTCAAGGTGCTGGTTCTTACCTTTAAACCCCTATATGGCCATGGTCCAGCATACCTATGGGACCACCTTTCCCCATATATACCCCAGAGAGCACTTCAGTTGGGGTCTCAAAATCTATTGACCCTCCCTGCCCCAAAAGAGGCCAGGCTTGGTACTACCAGGGCCAGGGCTTTCTCAGTGGTGGCCCCATTCTGGTAGAATGAGCTCCCGGAGGAGATCAGGGCCCTGTGGGGGTTTTGACACCTAGTCTGTGCTGCAGGAAGATCATGAGCAGAATGATTCCTAGACTTTTGAAAGTATACTTTGAAAGTAAGCCATCTTGAGCAATGACCAGCACTTTATAAATTTTGCATTAGGAATTGTTTTTAGATGATTTTATGTTGTTTTAATTGTATTATGCATTGATTGTGAGCCGCCCTGCGCCTGCATTGCGGGGAGGGTGGGGTACAAATGGGATAAATAAATAAATAAATATACACTCGGTTGCTTGCTTGACATCTGTTAAATATTACACTCATTGAGCTGAATGAAAATAAATTGTACTGCAGGTTTAAAAATTAAGTCTGTTTTTAAAATATGCAAATTATAAGAGAGTAACAACACACTCCCTTTCCTTGGACATCAGGGGATGTGCCTTGAACTAGTTCAAATCATTCCTCATGGATTGGACTCAGAGACTTGCTACTGGAAACGAGTTGTCATCAGTGTGTGACATACGTTGTGGGGCTCTGCAGGGTACGGTTCTACCCACCATGCTTTTCAATCGCTATGAAAAGCCTTTAGGACAAATCATTAGTAGTTTTGGGATTGGTTGTCATCAATATGCTGATGACATGTATATATCCTTATCCAAACCTCCTGGTGACGTTGTAGAGGTCCTGAATAGGTCCCTAGTTGCTGTGGTTAACTGTCTGAAAGTGAAAAAACTGAAATGAAACCCTGAAAAGAAAAAGGTAATGCTACTTGGAAAGGTGACGGTCTTGACGTACATTGTTCTCCCCACTTTTGATGGAATTCAACTGACCATTGCTGACTCAGTTTTAAAAGCCTTGGGGTTATACTGGATCCATCATTATTTTTGGAGAAGCAAGTTAATACAGCTGCAAAAAACACTTTCTACCACCTCAGCCTAGCCCATAAGCTGGCTCTTTACCTTGAACTGAACTGGCCACCTGGATCCATGCAACAGTAATATCAAGACCAGACTACTGTAATGCACTGTACACTGCCCTCAAAATCAACTCAGAAATAAATAAATGTAAACACTGCTTTTTAAATTTTTTTGGAAAAGTGATGTTCTTTTGGTTTGATTCCACACAAAAGCTTTTCTCTGTTTCAGCAACTCTACTCATGTGTCCTTTCTTTTGTTTCCATGCTACACTGTACTCATTCATGCTCAAATTAACAGCCCATTTTTTCCTGCTAAAAACTGTTTATTAAAAAAAACACAAAAACAAACAACAACCACATGGGGTAGGCATCTTTCCCAGCATGGCATTGTTGGGATGATCTTTTCCATGTGCCTGGAATGGAAGGTATGCCTTCTGTCTGAATGAAAGAGATGCCCCCCTTCCTTTGCATTTTCACAGTGAATTGCCTTGGTGACCATGCTAATATCAACAAAACTGAGGTTTTAAAAAGAATTGTGGGTGATTAAGGCAACATTGTGATACTGTCACTACAGTGGGACAGTATAAGTGGCAAGTATTTTTCTCTGCTCTCTCATTAGCACCTGAAAAGTTCTGAAGTCTTCTTTCCCCCTCCCCCAAGCAGTAGGGGGCTAATTAGTCTTCAGTGTAAGATGACTGCAGTGGAACACCCAGCAACTTCCAGCAGCTTTACCAAAGGATTCAAGTATTGCATTATTCTGGAGCAGTGCTATGTAAATACTTTCAAATGTAGTATTATATTATTCTGGAGCAAAAAGTGTAGTATTGCATTATTCTTCAGCAGCACTGTGTGTGCACCAAATATTTTTTAAAGATAGGCAGAGAATCATGATGGTGGGATAACAACAGTGGTGTGTGTGTGTGATGCAATTCACATCTGCTGTAAAAGGGTGGAGGAAAACCCCCAGATTATCGTGTGCTGTGTGGAATCTCTGTTGCAAGTACGAATTGAGCAACAATCACACTGACACCATGACCACCATGAAAAAAACCCTCCGCGTGAAATCAGCCTTTGTCTTGAAATATCAGAAAAATTATTGGCAGTGTGGCTGATTTTCCACTAGGTGTCTCTGCTGTGCAGGGTTCAAAGTAAGAGCACCCAAGCCCAAAGTTGTTTCCATATGATTAAAAACACACTTCTCCGAGTTTATATTCTTCTTTCTTCACAAGTTGTAGACGCTGGTATCTTTACCCCTCACTCCCAGGCGTACTTATTTTGATACAGGGCTGCTTGGCTTCAGCAAGCTTTGCTTCTGCTTTAGCTTGCTTGGAATATGGGCTCTCTGCCATCTTAGCTTGCTTGGAATATGGGCTCTCTGCCTGTTCAAATTAGAGCCATTGCTTTGTTGCTTAAGTTTGAAAGCTTGCAAGATTCAATCATATAGCACTAAGGACATCTAGAAGTAATAACATCTAAGTTGTATTAATAGTGGATGATCCTGAACTGACTAAGCATGAAGCAACAGGTTAAATCCACTGCTCGGATGCATATTATAAAATGGTATGGACATCTTCTATATGGTGTGTTGTGTCTGTAAAAAGTGCTGTGTGTTTCAGAATACTCTTTACCTATGTTTTTTACTTTCTTCCCCTAGTAATGAGATCTACATTGCTCCATCTGGTGTCCAAAAAGAAAGAATTCAGGTAGGTAGCTAATATCATCCTTGGAAATCCATCTACAGCCTTATCTTATCTATGTGTATACAGAAGCAAGTCCATACACTGAAGGTTATGTAGGTGTGTGATATCAAGTCACAATCGATTTATGGAGGCCCCAGCAAGGGTCTTTCAAGGCAAATGAGAAGCAGAGGTAGTTTGCCATTGCCTTCCTTTGCACAGACTTCTTTAGTGGCCTCCCATCCAAGTACGAACCCTGTTTAGTTTCTGAAATCTGACCATACCATTTCACTCCTGAATTGGTCATTAGCTAGAATTAGATTATTCTGCCTAAAAATGTGTAAAATGAAACATGATTAATCAACAAAAAGCTGAAACTGTATTGTCTATACTTCACGGCAGCATTATTCCTGTCAGTGTTTATGTACATTTTCTGATCAAATATTTAATCAGTGCTGTATCTATTTCCTACATTTGCATGTGTCAGAATCAAAAGAGGAGTTCCAAGGAATCTCAGCTTTGTTTGCTTGTAACCCTTGAAAGGGAGGAGTTTGAAAATGGGTGGCTACTCTAAGTCTGTGGTACTTGCCAAAAAAAGACACTCCTTAATCAGCACACTTATTAAATTGGAGTAAAAAAAAATGTAAAGAAAATATAACTAATCATACAGAATATACAGTTTTATTTATTCTCAGCATACAACCTTTTTATAAAGGTACCTTTTTATAAAGGGCTTATCAAATAGCATGTCAAGTGTTGTTATTACCCTTGACAGTTGACAAATTTCCCAAACAGGTTTTTGATTTTTTTTTACCTACATAATTTCATTCCAGATGTGTGTATGTGCCTATAAATAATAAATAATATTATAATGTCTAAACCAAAGAGGATAGGTCATCATGAAGAAACACATATGTACCTGAGTGCTTTCAGGAGTTTTGTTTGTTTGTTTGTTATAGCCTGAAGATATGTTTGTCTGTGACATAGAAGAACGGGACATCAGTGGGCCTCCACCACACAAGAAATTAAAGAAGAGTCAGTGTACTCCGCTCTTCATGAATGCTTATACCATGAGAGGTATGCAGCAAGCAGTGTTGAAAAAAATCAGGACATTGGATTGTATTCAATGAGATATGAATGGAACAGAATTATACTTTCTCTTTTCCCTCTGTCCACCCCCATCCATGCACGCACACACACACGCACGCACGCGCGCACACCCCTCTTGAAATTCTACTCCTAAGGCTTGCAGGACCCTCAGGAACAAAGCTGAGGCAGTATTGAGGAATGGAGCAAGGAGAGTGAATAGTTCATTCACATAAAAGTTTATGTTTGGGGGGAGGTGATTTCTGCCAATTTGTTCTCAAGCTGCAGTCCACTGCATCATATCCAGTTCTGCTCCTAGGGGTTCACCATCCTTCAGGGGTAATTTTTCAGGATAATCAAGAGACTTTAGTGGGAATGGGGATTGGGGAGATATTTGTTCAGTTCATAGGTCTTTGATTCCAGCTCTTAGCATTTATTTATTTTAATTTATTCCCTGCCGTCCCCGCCTAGGCGGGCTCAGGGCGGCTTACAACAATCATAAATACAAATAAATACAATTAAAAACCTATCATTAGCATAAATCACTTAAAATAACAATCCTTTAAAATATAACACATAAAATGCTGGAACATACTTAATCAGCAGGAGCACTAGATCTTATAACATAATGTAGGTAACTGTTAGATGTCAGTGCTTTCACATCAGCCCAGTTCTTATTTATTATGCGGTGAGGACAGGCTGGGAACCACGATGGTAAGACCCAGGTTACAGACTGGGGAGCCAAGGCACAGGGTCACTCCTTGGTGGGTAGTGCAGCTCCTTAGTGAAACGTCTGGTGGAAGAGCTCCGTCTTGCGGGCCCTGCAGAACTGTAAGAGGTCCTGCAGGGCCCTGATCTCTGCCGGGAGCTCATTCCACCAGTATGGGGCTGCCATCAAGAAGGCCCTGACTCTGGTTAGTGCCAGCCTGACACCCTAGGGTCTGGGAGGGCCCGCTGAGTTTGTGTCCCTGAACACAGTGCTCTACAGCGAACGTGTGGGGAAAGGCGGTCCCTCAGGTATGCTGGACC